GGGCAGAAGGGAAATTTTCAAGGACATACAGTGTTAGTTTTACATATCACTTGGAGACTGGTATAATTAATTAAAGGAGGTAAGAGTTTTCATCTCGTACCATATGCTGGACAAAGGAAGGATGAGGTTAGAAACAGTATTTTGTTTCATGCAGTAGAGAGCAAAGCATAGATAACATCATTAAAGTACGTTTCAGAGTTCTTAGGAGAGGATCACTGAGACAGCATTCTGGCAGCAGTTAGATTGACAAGATTGCTGCTGTTCAGGGCTCTGGTGATAATTAAGCAACTGCATTAACTCTGCTACAGTGCTAGTTTGCTTAGCATTTCAAATAAATTGTTTAGAATCATTAGTAATTTTAATATTACTTCATCTGCTACATCTACTGCCTGAAAGAGAGCAATGTGGTAAGAAATAAGTAGCATTGCCCTGCCTAAACTGATTGCCGTGAGTATTTCTGGTTCTCGATTACCTTCTTTTATAGAAGCCTGTTGTGTTACAGTACAAGGCGTTCCTTTCTTCTAAAGCAACACAAAGCTGTGAGTTTCTTCTGTAAGATGGTCTTAAAATAGGATTTGAAAAAAGTGCAAGAGGAAGAAGCTAAAGCTGTGACTGAAAGAGAAGCTAATTTTAAAACTGTGTCATCACAAACATAGATACAGGTCGCTTGCTGAAGTGATGCCTACTTTTCTAGAACAAAAACATCCTTGTAATTTTGGGGCATTTTCTTTTGTTCAAATGAATTTTGTGTAGGATTGGAAGACTTTCCTCCCTAAACCTAATGGTTTGAAATTCTTCTGCTGTAAGAAAAAATTGTTACGGGCAACTTTCTTTAGAAAAAGTACATCCATTCCTGGATTTGTTCATCTGGGGGTCTTTTTCTTCTGCTGTTATCTGTAACGAAGCATGCCGTAGCATATTATGTTTGGAACTAGGTCCCTTCCAACCAATCCATCCCTTGGTAAGCATATAACAAGCTAACAATACTGTTGCATTCTTAATTACTTTACTAAATTACTGGGGGAGGGAGATGCTGATAAAAATTTAACTCCCGGTGTGATTTCCAGATTTGGTACAATTATTACTTTATGAGATCAGTGTCATAGTTTTTTCTTACAAATACATTTCTTTTCCTTATTAGGTTGGAGGAATTAAAGACAAAGTGCTGGCAGCGCACCGAGCTGGACTGAAGAGAATTATCATTCCTCAAAGAAACGAAAAAGATCTTGAAGAAATTGCACTGAATGTACGGCAAGATCTGACTTTTGTTATGGCAAGCTGTCTGGATGAAGTTCTTAATGCAGCTTTTGATGGAGGATTTTCAGTTAAGCCCAGAGTTGAGCGTTTGAATAGTAAACTTTAAGTTGACAGGCTGAGATTACTTCTATATCACATTTTAATAGAGAATAGTAACTATCAACTAGATATGCATATCTAATATAAATATGAGCTAAGACTGCTAGTTTAAAACTGAGTGTAAATGCAATCAAAATAAAAATAGTACTTTAGCAGTTAACAACCTAAACCCATATTTGCTGGGTATGCTGCCTTTTACTACTACCAGCAAGGAGTCTTGAAAAAAATACTTTTTTCCTGATAGTGAGATTCAAGCATGAGTAACCTAATGCTATTGAGAAACAATTCCTTACCTTATCTGGTATGTAGTTATATCAGTGTCAACAGCTGATGACATCTGCAAAGACTTCAGGCCCACAGCCAGAGAATGGTACGCAATTTGTGTATTCAGAGAACACAAACTGCAGCAAACACAGCACAGAACAGCAAGAGGGGTAATTAATAATGAGGACGTTAATCAAAAGCAAACTGATTTGGTGCACAGGTGTTTTCTTTTTAGTAAGTAACATTGAGGCAATCTGTTAAGGAGGGGTGGCATCAGAAAAATCAAGATTTTGGAATTAGTAAGGAAATGCATAGAAGATTTAAGGATAACAGAAGCAATAGTTCTAGTTTGTAGCAGTGTTGATGTAGGCATCATTTTTTCAAACCTTAATTAATTACAGAAATACACTCATTTTTGCCTAGGAAGGGTAATAATGCATTAAAGTTCATGTGTGCAAAGTTGTACTTACAGCCCTGGAAGTAGGTGGCACATACTCTGAAGACTCATAGAAAAGACTGAGCCTGGTAACACGTGGGAGGGGCAAAGTACTCCTCCTTAATTCTTACGTGATACAAAAGTAGGAACACTGCTGATTCTAGGATACTTACGTTTAGTGTTTAGACTCTAAATGCTACATCCATTTAAACAATACCAATAAAACTACTGGATAGTTAAATTTTATTAGGTAGCGCACACTAATAATGTTAAGATTTGAGAAAGTGTTTATATCCCCTCTGAGTCAGTAGCTTTCTCTCTTCAGTGTTTAACACAGGAATTTAACTTTATGGAATCTGCAGTTCTGAGTTTTTCATTGTTTTGTATGAGGGTAAGCCACAAGAGAAAACCTAGTCTCTAGTATTCTGTTCTTGTCTCTTGCTTCTGTTCTTGTTAATTCTGAAACGACTGAAGTATCCTTATGAAAATGCAAATTGTATCAGTGACAGAAGAATCCTTTGTTTGGCTTTAATTTCAATTGGTAAAAAGAAAGCTGATTTACGTGGAATATAACGGTAATTATATTAATAAATTTAATGGGTATTTTTTCACTAGGTTATAAAAACTTTCACAGAAGACTTAATCTAATAAAATGATTTTTTAAAAAAGCAACACTTTTTGCTTTACTATTTTCAGAATTACACACTTCAGTTATTCAATACCTAAGTTCCACAGTTAAGAGACAACAGTCCCTATTTTTCTGCCTTAAAAATTACTTGAATGTAACAAGTGTGAAATAACTGGACAATCAGTAAAACAGCAGAAAGGAACGATAACTAATATGCTGCTTTGCCTCCAATGAGGACTAGTAAGGGGAAAATAATATTTTCTGTACTCAACTTAATGCAGATCAAATGAGTCCTGTACTACGTAGCACTAGTAAGAGAACAGACATGTATGGAAAGCAAATACTGTTGTTCTTTTTTTTTTTAATATTAAGCTTCTACAGCAATTTCAGAAGAACAAGGAGTTGCTCTGAAGAAAAGATAAGCAATAAGTTTCTGCCACATTGCTCCAACTCATGTTTTGTCCACATGGACTTTATCTGAAAGGTGAGAGCTTTAATGCCATTCTAGAATATCTTTTGTCTGAGTAGCTTTTCAATTTCCCACTTCAGAGCTGATTTGTGTTAAAGATTTTTTTTTTTTAAATTCAAATAGAAGTATTATCCATTATAACAGATATTATAGTTTAAATGTTTTTGGCTTTTGCTGAGCACTCTTGAGCACAGCCATCTGTGCAGCAGCAAGCCAAAATAATAAAGATCTTTAAAAGTAAAGTAATGTCAGTACACTAGAGGTTATCCTGCATTGCAACTGACAGTTAAACAAACATGGTGATAAAGATGAGGGTGTCTTGAGACTATATTGTAAAATAACTAACTTTATCTAGAGCTAAAAAGCAGCACTGGTAGCTCCTTTGTCCACAGTCCACACTGTAAATTGCTACAGATAAAACTGTCTCACTAATGCAATTCATGCTTTTAATCACAGTAGCTTTGAAAACATACTAGATAATACAATGGCATAGGCAGCAATACAAAACAGTCTGCTTAATCCATTTCAGTTTTAAAGCAATACTGCAAATGCGAACTAATGAGAAATTCCAAATATTAACATCCACATTTGTCAGACATTTTACTCTTAAGGCTTTCTTTTTTTCCCCCCCAAAGGCAATGAAAAACAACAGAGGTAGTACTAGGGAAGAATGCAAGATCTACTGCATTTCATTTAATCAAGACAAATGTGAGTACTATTTCTCCATACAGAAAGTACTTTCTAAAATAAACAGCTAATGCTAAAACACTGCCAGGCTTTAATACACCATTTATTTTAGATTAGGTAGTAAACTGTACAGATTGTTACGATGTTTTCATTTTTCATATATGGAGCATGGTTTTATTTACCAGATCCTCAAACTACTAAGAGGAGAGATCCACTGACTTACGCTTCCACTACTTTTGAAGATCTAGGCCTAAGTGTAATTCGTTTAATCATTCCATCAGATGATGGACATCAAATTTTTATACAGGTTTTTTTGTGTTTTAAACCAAATGGAACACTAGTTTAAAGGAAGTCAGTACACATTTATGCTACAACATTTGTCACTTGTAAAGCATGACTAAAAAAGTCTGTTACAAGCACAATTTTTAGTCCCCATCAGAAGTATATTCTTGATTTCCAGCCTAATAAAAGTCACCATAGAACAGTGCAAGAAGGCTCAAAGTTCTTTTGGGCAACACAACACGAGTACAAGCAGCAGCAATCTCGCTAACTCATGCACTTACACAGCCCTGTGATGCTCAAGTTGCAAGTACCAGGCTGCTCAGGGTGACCCGAGCAGGCTCTTAGCTAGATTTCCTTTCAAAACCTGAGCTCAGAAGCAGATAACATGAGCACATGACCTTCACTCCAAGCCAGCCAATGGGGGGAAGTGGGTCTATGCCTATAAAAATAATTTGCATATTTAGCTAAGTTTCTGTCAGTAGACCAAAAGACAAAACTCAGGTAAATGTAGGCACACTTGATCAGGTGAGTACTGAATTCTGAAGACTGCACTCAATTTGTTGTGTACTTGTAAGGAAATGCTAGACTGAAGGATTAGCTCCTTCTGAAACATTTATGTATTGCCACAGGATACCCATACATCTCATACATTAAATCTGTGCACAATTCCAACAGCCTGAACACCTACTTCTAATAAGTAAAACTTTCCTTCGTTATGTGACACCGACTACTTCTGTATTATTTTATGAATCCAACTTCCAATTTGGAAGATTTTATGTTCCTTACCTGTAGAATTACTTACCTCATCATGCATCAAAATAATATGAACAAGAGTTGTCTTAATAGATCTATTTCTGATAAGAAAGTTAAAGACAGTGCACAGTAAATAAACCGTATTTTAATGTGTTACAAAAGGAATTAATAGTCAGGCTACCTCTCCCAACAGATGTCCAGTACTACTAGGTTTGACAAAGACTTCCTTTAAATAGCTTGAGATGAAACAGCTTTTCACGTTATCCTTTTTTCTTTCTTTGCATCTGTTTTGTAACACAAATACCATATACATTCACGGTTAATTTTTTTCACATAGAGGCAGTCTGCACAAAGCCCATATCTTACAAAAGCTGTTACGGCTGGTGAATCATATCTGTAAGAGATTACTTGCATTTGACTGTGTATCATATCGCCAAAATAATATACAAAAATCAGTTCAAGAAAATTACTTCAGTAACAACCGAGAGACAGGACAAGAAAGTGAGCAAGAGTAGTAGTGTGTCAAACTTTGAGCTAAAGCACAAAGCAAAAACAATTGTTTTTAAATTTGTCAGGTATTCTCTTAATAAGAAATGTAAAAAGACTGAAAACATCTCATTCTGTCTGCCCTTTCTTTGTTTTTTTGGTGCTTTTTGTTTGTTGTTAAACAAATGGCCTGTTGTATAGTTACAAACACTGTGAAAGACAACACCTTCTTTGTACCAACAAACCAACAAACAGAAGGATGCAAGGGATGCAAGAGAGTTTCTAAGCATCTCTAAATTTGAAACGTATTTTTTTTTAAATGCGGAAAAATCCTTGTAGTTCATTTTTGTTAGATCATAACTCAAAGTACAACAACATCTAGAGCTGTTTTTAAAGGAGCTTTCTTTCCTGATGCATCTTTGAACATAATTACTCCTTTCAAGTTCAGTACATTCACAAAATAGCTCAATTAAGAACAGTATCACCAATTAATTGACTACTGGAAAGAGACAAAATTTACCAAACATACAGAAATATTAATTTTACCATAGCAATTATGCATATCAAAAGATGACACCTGTATTTAATTCTTTAAAGATACAAAAAAAAAAAAAAGAGAAAAACCTGAATTACAGAAAAGAAAGTCATATTTATTTAATGAAAAACTAGAAGTTAATAAAAATTAGCAAATACACAAAAAATATACACAAACAGCAGCAATACTATGTAGTGACTTACAAAGGAGGGGGGGAGGAGGGGCATGGGAAGCAGCGGCCAAAGCCCAAACCGCTCAACATGGCTTGTCAGTCAAAGGGGGAGGAAAAGAACACAAACAAAAACACGAAACAGTATCCTTTTCAACAGTACAATCAATCTACAAACAAGTTTTTAGAATTATTTTACAACATTTCCTGTAGAATCAATTCTTAATACAAAAGATGCCCATTTTGGGTGTATATATATTTTCAGTGGTTTACTGTTGACTTATTTTAAATATATTAGTGTTACTACATGCAACTGCTTCCTGTAATTTAACAGCCTTTCCTTTTATTTACCTTCATATATGTCTATCCTCCATCTACCAAATAATTTGTCTGACAGTCAACGATGGTTACCCTAGTTTCTGCTAAATTAAATGCAATGGTTTTAAACACTGGCCTGAAGAGGTTTGATTGCCATTTCAACACATCGATATAGTTACGTTGATGCCTAAATTGCCATTTTCTGCAAAGAGCTGTGCAATGCTGGTGTCAAAGACTAGACAGTCACTATTCATAATGGCTGTTGCAATTCCCTCATGGATAGATCGAGGAGTTGCTTCCCAAGTCAGTCGCCGCCTATGACCGTTTAACTCAAGTCGATAAGCAAAGTTTTCTGCTTGCTTGCGTGTTCCTATCAGCTGTACAATCGCAAAGAACTGCTGGTGACCATCATATTTTTCCTGTTTCTCCAATACTAACATGAAATGAAAGCCAAAACAAGACTGCATCATAACCCAGTCAACAGCACCAGGAAGATTAATGTCTGTAGCAAGAAACACTATATCTTCTCCCTGAAGTGTTGTAATTGACTTATGTTGATGCATCAGATGTGGCATTACAGCATCCAGAGAACCTTGCCATTTACATGAAGCACCAGGACATGGACAGGAATAAGGCCTAAACTCACATAGCTCCTCATGGTCTGCTTTTTCTGTGTGTGGCAGAGTTATCTCACATCCAGAAGAGGCATATTTACACGGGAATAGTACAGAATTGGCAACTTTCTCCATAGCCAGGTTACGAATGGAGCCCAGTGGGCCTCGGCAAGTTGGACAGCACGTAAGTTTGGGGCGACAGTTGCTACAAACAAGGTGGCCACTCTGACACTGAAGAATTGGTGGCAGCACATAGTCAAAACAGACAGGACACTCAAAGAGACTAGCCAAGTCATTATTGGAAGCTGTAGTGCCAGTCAGCGCAGGCACTCTCTGTGATGGCGTACACTTTGAAGTACCTGTAGGTAGTGCTGTAGCAGTCTGACGGCTCATTTCTATAAGAGAAGAGAAAAAAGAATGAGGATACTGCAGGGATTATATCTAAACACATTTTATTTTATTCTGCTTACCGTATTTCTTGATTATGAAAACAAATCAAAATTAATCAGACAAAAAGAAGTGAAACTCAAACATGCAATGCAGCTGTGCGTACTTTGCACGTAGATTTTCAGCTATGTTCCAGAGAATAGACACTGGCATGACACAGATCTAAAAAGAAAAGATGTTCTGCTAACTGTTCTGAACTGGAATTTACCTATTGGAAGCTGCAGGGTAAATGTGTAAAGAAGTACTAAGCGTAGCTGAAATCTTCAAAGATTTTTGTTGTTTTCTGGTTGATGCTGTTGTTTTTGTCTTTGTTTTTTGCTGTTTCTTTTAATATTGCACTTACAAAACATTCCATCTGGTCAGGTGGGGGTAACAACTGAGCATACTACCTAATACAAATCTAAAGCTGAATTTTAAGCTTTACATAGAAGAAACCAGCCGTATGAAATGAAAAAAAAATAAAAAAGCTTGAATATCATAATCCTATTTACTGTATCAGGATAATTAAAAAACAACAGCCACCAGTTACAAGGAAGAACATAGCTAAGATTATCCTACCCTGGGAAAGAGCCATGTAATATTGACTCTTCACTTCTGTAGCTTTTGAAACATTCCCATTGCTTTCACTTGCTGAACTAAACTATGTGTGAAGACATCAGGAAATAAACAGAAAACAGAAATTATTTTACTCAGCTTTCTAAGCAAGACAAGAAATGCAGAAGATGAAATGTGAGAATTAAGAATTAAGCACTGCTTATGAAGTTTTACATTCAGTAGTTTTCAGTTCTTTCCAATGTCTCTGAACCAAAGTGGCTGTCTGACTGCACAACGCTTTCAAGCATTCAACGAGCAAAGGTAAAAGGCCTGTATGTCTTTCAACACATACAGATGCCACACTTTGTCCTGGTCCCCCTGACTCCCCTCCTACTTGCACAAAAGGAACCACTAGTATTGCCAGGAAAAATAAAAACTTAATATTGAGCAGAAAAGCCTTACCTTCATAGGTTAAAGTAAAATGCTATTCAAAACTGGAATCCATTATACAGAAACATTCTTAACCACCTTAAGTGTTTCTGTGCATCAGCCCTGTATCTGTTGTGCATGAAACCGAAAATAAACTTCATCTTTAATCTCCTTTATATTTGACATGGGAATATTAAGCAATAGGCAAGCTTCCCATATTTAGAATTATTTCAACCACAAACAAGCTTACTCATACTTGGACTAGATACCTCAAAGCAGCGTACTGTGCGTGCTTTAGCAAGGCATGCGCTATTCAGGGCACGTGATGAACAAACTATGAGATTCCAAGAAGCAAAACAACTTTTCCCTTGACGTTCACAAAACAGCCACAGTGGTCAACGTCACTCTTTTCAGCAAAAGCCCCTTTTCTCCAATCCAGAGCTCAAACAAAGGTTTTTGGGAGCTGGCATTCAGTCCGAGTCTTCACTCTCACGTGCCCCACACCAGCATCATCTCATCCCTCCAAAGTCTTTTCTTCCACCTTGAGCGCCTTGCTCTCAAAATATCCAGATCTTATCTTTGGACATAAAACCACGCAGTAGTTTTCATTACTGGACCCTACATGGTACAGATCCAAAAGGAATGGTAGTTTTTTGGCCTTGTTTTCCTACTTCAAGCATTTCCTCTAGATGGAAAGTTTAAGTGATCTATGACAAATCAAATCTATGCTCTGGGGAAGCGATGCCCCACCAGTTTGTTGCAGAGAGTTCAGACAGACAGCCCCAGTGATAACTGAGCACTACTGCTAGTTTTCTCCAAAATCTGCAGATGGGAGACTCGTGGTGTCACACTGTGGTCCAGGAAAACAAACTGCACACACAGAGTAATTGCACAGTACCACACTGCTTGGAACGAGCATAGAAATCACATACATGTTCTTGTGTAAAATTCTGAAAACATCACCTTGCAGAAATTGTAAACACGTTTTGGAATAGTTTTTGTGTGCTTCATCTTACCTGCATCCACACCTCCTGATCCCCACAAACAACACGGAAAACCACTGTTCCCCAGGCAGTCTGACTGGCCGGGTGAGCTTTGCTCTGGCTGATAACACCTCCAGGAGCTGGTACCACAGTTAGGTAACCAACCTCCAAGCTTTGCACAAGACCTCGCACACAAATGCACTTCCACATCAGCTTTCAGTGCTTCAGAAGCACTGAAGAAGATGCTGCACAGCCCTGGTTTGGCACCACTCCTGCCTGTGCCTGGCCTTCAAACACAACTGAGCACCATCCCACAAAGCAGGGAGCCAAAATGCACCGGAATCTGTGAACTGAGCCACTGAAATGAACAAGCAAAGAAGAAGCTGGATAATGCAAGAAACTGCAGTTTACCAAGCCCAAAGCTGTCCAAAGCATAAGTTCCCATCATTTGTGAACATAAAAGATGAATAATGCCTCACAGCGGAAAAATAAAAAGTTAATTTTTCATAGATGTCTTAAAACCTACAAGGTAATGGCAAATCAAAGTGTTCATGGCATAATACAGTTAATCTGTATTTGCCTTTGTCAAACTTTCTCAACAAATTACCAACCAAAACCAAACACCTAACTGGAAATAAGAGTTTAATGTTATTTTTAGTTACAAAACATTTTCTACAGGTCAAAAAAACCCACAAAAGAACCCAAAACAATACAACCCTATGTGCAAAGCTTGCCATTAGCTTTGTTCCACACACTGGGAGCAAGCGCATAAGCAATACCAACAAACCGCAGGATGCTGGTTGTCATCTGCAGAAAGTAATTCCTACAACCCCTATTTGAAACATCAAACAAATTTGCCTAAGTTTAACCAGCAGAGTGAAAGAAGAGACGCACTTTAACACTCCCAACTCCAGCCTGAGGACAGCTCTGCTCTGGGTGAAACCAGCCCAGCCCGCTGATGGCCAGCAGTGCGGGAAGCACATGGTAGCGTCACCTCCTGCGAGCCATGGGGCTGCACCAATGACAGATGCGACAGATCACACGAGGCACATTTCAGCGGAGGCAGCAGGGGAACACACTGCCAAGAGCTGTTCTGCTCACAGACAAAGCAAGGCCGCAGTACCTGAGTCTTAAAAATGCTTTCCTACTACTTGAAATTCAGGTTCTGAAATTCAGGCAGACTGTGGAAGCTTTTACTGGATCCATAACACATGCAAGTTAGCACCACTGCAGAGGATTTGGTGCTCTTAACAGAAGACACTGACTAAATACACAGTATGTTTACGATTCATCACTGTATGTCCCTCCAGGTGAGAGTCAAGGAAGTTTCCCAGGGACCGAGACGAAGAAAAGCAGCAGGAGCGACCTGTGGACTACGTGCCAAGAGCTCAGCAGTCAGTAAGCCATGCCCAATGCCCAGCGCTCCACCTCCTGCCATGCATGGCTGTCCCAACAGCCGCCAGCCCTGTACGGAGCTGTGCTGCAGCATGCAACACCTGAACAGGCTGTGAAACCCCTGAGCTAAAGTCACTGTGAGAGCAGGAAGGTACAGCAAACTGAACAGCCCAGCTGACGTGCAGACACATGGAAAACACCTTCAAGAAAAGTTCAGAAAGATAACATATCTCATGTGCCATAGAAGTAACACAGTACGTATGAATAAATTTGTGCCATCTCAGCTTCTCACCTCTCCAAGGCACTAGCTTCAGACACCATCCTGGAATCCAAACTTAACTTATTTCACTGAAATAGAGGGTACTTTTAACACCCTCAGGCTAACACCATCAACTTTTCCAACACCTTTACTTGCTCTCAATAGATTACACTTGGGACTAATGCCTTAAATGCCTTTTGAGAAGGTAACAGAATTAGTGTTGGGGGGGAAAAAAAGAAACAAAACAAACCACCACCAAATATCTGTATAGTTACCTTAGTGTTTGAAACAAGAAAAAAAATCTGTGTAGTGCCTAAGAATGGTGAAAGGACAGAAAAATGCCTTAGCAAAGGCTACTATACGTGACGCAGTTATTTCAATCACATTTTAGAACTAAGTGAATTCAGAGAGTTGCATTCAAGAATCAGTAACTCTTAACACCTAACAGTTATGACCAAGGTAACACAAAATCTTTCATTTTTTCAGCTGCACAATCATATTTGAGAATGATACCTATATAAAGAAAAGCCCAGTTGTGGAGCACTGAGAATTAGATCCCTGCGTTACATAGCACTCATATTTGTGGAGAACACTGACAGCTGGCTACTTCAAGATGCTGTAGAGTCCAAAGAATGCCAAAACCCCCAAACTAAGTCAATTGTTGAAAATACCAATTGCTTTGCAGGTCTAAATGATAACTAACAGTAAATACAGTTAGCCACTGCCATCAGAAATGCATGCAATTCAATATTCATAACATTTATAACATAAAATAAACTGAAAGATTTGTGTCACCAGTACTTCATTGGCAGCAGAAGAAAGGTTTAGTGAATGCCTATGAATTATATAATCATGGGACTGTTCATCCTCTGCGATTATCTGCAGTGAACCACCAGACCCCAACACTCAACACGTGTCTGATACTACCATGTATGTTCCCTTGTACAAATGCTATCACCAGCTGAGTCATTACTAGCGGGCAATCCAGATCTTTTCCAAACTCAGCATCTGTAGCAGATGCAAACAGCACTGTAAACACAAGCACTATGTTATTACGCCTGTTTAACTGCAGTGACATGTATCTCATCCAGACAAAAACCTGAGTTGTGGCTAGTGTTATTTCATTTCAACCACTGTCATTAGCTCTTTCTCCTATCTCTGCCACGACGTTAAACACCCACCCACATGCTGCCTGTTTCTAGCTGCCAAAGGTTTTCTTCCCAATAATTTTATGATGTAAAATTAGGAAGAGCAACCTAGACAAGGTATACAACAACTACATAAAACATAGCTTCTTTTTTTTTTAAGAAGCAAAGAACTTCATCAATTTCAGGTGAATAACTGTACCCATACTGTACCAATCCAGAACTTTGCAATTCAGTGTATAAATTCCAGAGAATCAAGATGAAAGTTAGCACTGAGTATCAGAAACTATATTGCTAGGAGACTAGTCCTGCAGAGAGATGAACTCTGAAACAAAGTACATAGGAGAAAAAATTCTAACCAATAAAACCCCAGATTTCATTCTAGAATGACAACCAGAAATGTCTGATCAAAAGCAGAAATCCTGTGACTGGCCCACTCAGTCTGCACTATATAATTAGAGAACATTCCATGTCTCACTCATATTTATGCTTAGAACTAAATAAAAAAAAAGATTGATTTGTACACTCAGGCCATCAACAAAGTGCTATATAGCACTATATGACATCTCTCCCTTTTTTTGAGCTTGAAAGGAGAGGAAGCAGAACAGAAATAAAAGAGAAACTATAAATGAAATTTCTGAAAATTCAAGCTGTACTAAAATCAACGCCACCACTAGAAAAAGAAAATGCAGAGATACACTATGTAAACTGGTATAAGCAAAAATCACTGATATTTGGTTGTCTCTTGTGATGAAAGACAGGCTAGTAAAACAATCTTTTCCATTACATATAGTTATAAATAGATAGAAAAAGAGCCATTCTTTAAATACAAATCAAAACCAAATGCTGGCATTAAAAGGTTATGGATCATTTCCAAACAGGAGTTTAGTGTATTTTTTCCTTTTCAAAACCAAGTAAATAACTCAGCTTGCTGACGCTGCAGGACCCCACCCACCACAGACGATCAAGATGGTGATACAGAATCACCGTTCAGAGATGCACATTCTTGCACTGTACCTTTAGCGGTGCTCTGTGACCAAGGCCTCTTCTTTTCTCTGTTCACCAGCTCTGTCTTCAGTGCAACTATCAGCAGTCAGTCAGTACTCAGAGCATTCCCTGACAGAGGACGCCTGAACCTCCAGCATGCCCGCACCTGGAACCTACAGCATAACAAAGTGGTTTGAATTCAGAACAACAGCCGTCCCGTACAGCAGCCTCCTGTGGCTACCAAACGAGTGCACCTTCCTGCAGTCTGCCACAGTTTGAGCGCAGCACGGCTAACTGAGGTAAAGCAGAAGCATGGATTTCAAAATAAAGACTGTGGCAGAAACCAAAGAATCTGACAAAATAAAGACATGGTTCATGTGAAAACACACAGAACTCCACATGAACAATTAGCAACAGGGAAAACAGTTTTAATTCACTTATTTATGTTTTAGCAGCATCTCATTTCCTTTCACCATGACTAGAGCAAACTAAACTGCACTACATCAGGATCATCCTGAAACAGTAATTCTGTCTATAAAAAACAGGTAAACAGACACCTTTTCAAAAGTTCCAGGCTTAGCAGGTTGCATTAAAAAGTAAGCAAGGCATACAAAGTGACCAGCTACTACGTAGATCAGTAAGTTGCAGGGGAAAACAAAGTTATTTTCCATGCCGTACCATCAGAAGAATCTGATGCAGAAAGCATTGAATTCTGCTCTATGAAACATCATATCCATAGATGGACTCTAGACACAAGTTGAGGAAAAACACACAAGCACAGAACAACTCAGTGTTAACAGCAAATCCTACCAAGTGCGACAAATTGAGGGCTGCCTTTCTTTCCTCAGAGTGATTTTGCAAAAACTATATTCTTCACTGTATACTGTAATTGCCATGCAATATTGCATCACCACTGCTGTGTCTGTGGCAGACACAGGGAAGAGGGTGTGGCATAGAAGTGCCTACCTTAACTCAGTAAAGCTAAACTGAAAGAAATATCTATGCTTTGTTGTGCTTTCACATACAAAATCTTCCTGCAGTAACTATTCCAATTCCAGATCTATTTTGTACTCAGAAAGTTTCCTGCATAACTAAATAGTACTAGGGAACAGACCATCAAAACAACCTGACCTGATTCCAGAAAGATGTGGCTCACAGGAGACCAATCGCAACACAGAGCTGCTTTGTAGAAGGAAGAGTCAGAAAAGATTAGGTATATAGACTACTTTAATACAGACCTCTCCATTTTGTGCATTGCTTAGGTTCATGCGTACTTCTGTCTTAAATATTAATTGGTTCTTGTGTTCTTTAATCCGTTCTGTATTTCTGTACACAGGGCTGAACAATGGAACCCAGTGGAGACGTGAAGAATGGCTCAGCTGCCTGTGGAGGTGACCGCGTACGGGAGGGCACAGAGACCTTTCTGCCACGAGGTACGTCACACACAGATGTACCACCATGTGTGGTTTCAAGTACAACCCCACAGCAGTAGCACTGAAAACCTAACAGTGCAATTCACAGATCTGATTCCTCCCTATAAAATAGATATCCAGCTGTCCCTTTTCCAGTTCAGGTATTTAATCTTCTGATGTGAGCTGGAATGAGAACGTTTAGAAGAATAACAGAAAGACAATGTCCTCATTTTCTCTCTCACACCACTCACAAATGTGATAAAGTACACAGAATTTTAAATGTAAAGAAACAAATCCATATTCTTAAAATGGGTATTCCTATATTTTTGAAACAAAATGTTCACACTATAGATGATTGCTTAAAGCTTTTCAGTACTTCGTTTCCTTAACTTCCCATTTTCTACATGCCCTGTGTTACTAGCATCCATTCTTTGAAGTGCATGTCTCCACTAAACCCAGAACTGTTTAAGTGACTCATTTGTTCTCTGCTCATTAGTTCAGAATCAACTGCTCCTGTTGTATTGTAGCATAAGGATTCAACTTTCACCATTTAAAATCTTGTTTTTAATTGTTATTACAATGCTACCTGCATTCTTAAACTCGGTTATTGGTAACTTTACATGGTCCTATTTCTGCACAGAGCACCAACTCTACATTCCTTATTTCTTCAGAACACACTTTCCAGGAAACACTAGTTTGAGAACATGGCTTTATCTCACAAACAAAAGCACTTTTCAGTCTTTCTTATCAACCTCAGGCACAGCACCCAGAAATGCTGTGCATTGCTGACTCCACAGACCACCACGTTCCACAAGAAGTTTCAGCACTCCTTGAGATGTGAAAAATAGAATTAGTGGTACAGGTCTGTGGCGTGGGATATTCGTGGCAGACCTGGGGTTACTTCCTGCTCCATCACAAGTGTCTGAGTCACCGCAGGAAACTACTTCCCTGCCTTTAGAGCACTGTGTGTAGCTGCAAGCCTCAGACAAAAATGCAAAAAGCGATGAATTAGCATGAGAAGGATACTAAATTAACTCTGTAGACCCTCTTCCAGTCAGCAGCAACAAAATGTCACGACATGCTAAATGACATTATGTTAAACTATTTCAAGATCTCAATCCTTAATCCAGCAATAGTCAGACTGCAATCACTGATTACTTTCCAAGGATGATCCAAGTCCTGCTCACATATGGATAACTGCCTTCTTCCAAGCCCAGCATGTTCTACATCAGAGACAAATTAGGGAGATGAGGCATTTGCAACATCCTTCTCACTGATTTTAAGTAATCTGTAGACCCTCTTCTTCCACCAACTCCACAATGACATTTTATGGAAAGCCAGTAATAGAAATCTCTCTTTGGAGGAATCCTTGGATTACCAAAAAAAGTTCTCTCAGCATTCCCTCTGAAGATCCAAGGTGAATAACCCAGGTTTTGAAGCTAGTGGTTCATATTCAGCAGAACAGTAGCTCTCAGATCAGAGAACTGTATTTTCTCTTACCACTATTAATTTCTGTTCAGGTTTATCAAAAACATGAATGAAATGCGCAATTTCACTCACTTGTATCGCCTGGGAAATGCTTCATGGCATACAAAATTAAAATCCAGCCATAATCACTCTGAAGTCGGGCTGAGACTGTGCCAGAAAATAAAACACAGGCCATTACAAATGCTTGGGAAACGACAGGTGCAGGTACACCTTTCTGCCACTTCGTGCTCCCTCAGTACTTCCTAGATTCAAACATTACTACACCCCTTGCTGCAAAGTACTGTCCCCCCCCCTTCTGTCACATGGTTAGATCAAAACTTTACGTTGCAATGCTGAATCCGGAACATCAAACCCTAACAATGACTCACTACTTGAAATTTAACTGTAAATGTTAGTATTTTCAAACCTTTTTCTTTTATTGGAGTGTTACAAAGAAAAAAAAAAAAAAAAGGCTTTAGGTTGGATGATCAAGCACTCAAAATTAGAAAACAACGAAAGTTTGACATGCAACTCTATTTCCTCCTATGCATATTAAGGAACAGCTCTCATGAAATACTTATTTCCTCCCACTCACTCCTTTAGCAGAGCAGAATCTGTATGTACCTGGAAGAATTATATTTGCACAAAGAACAATACTTATTCTTTAAACTGATCAGCTGGTTTAAAATAAAGCTGTTTAGGACAGCAGATATTTTAACACACACAGAAATGCTCTTAAAATTACTGCTTTACAGGTGCCGTTTAAATGAACATCCATCTCAACTTCTGTTATGAAGTGCCTGCTTTTATTTGTAAACTATCTATTTTACATGATTGCACTTGACCTAACACAAAGCCAAGCTAAAATTTTACAGTACACCATCAACATCTGCCAGCCAAATCTTCCCTCGTCACACCTGTGCAACCAGTCTTCAATTACACCCTGGGCACACTTGCATAATCACAGATATCAGCCATGTGGGGACGAGGCATACGCAGACGTCTCAGCTGTGTTAACTCCTCCGTGCTCCAAAAAGAGGGGAAAGAAAATTCTGCACATGGAACTCACAACCCTTATGATTTATACACATGTATGTGCGTTTATATATACTTCAAAATAAGCAATTCAGTAATCAAGGGATCAGTTGAGAAGATTTTCATTGCTTTTACCAGAAGACAATTGCACATGCACAGAAGCAGAGGGCAAAGACCACGACTTCAGGCTTATCTCTATGCAAAACTGAACTACTTCGCATCGATTTAAAAACTCCTTCAACTAGGAGTTTATCCTTAAAATGGGGTTATATATGCATCAATACACAAATGTATATAGAAATGTGCTTCAAATGTGATTTCCAGACCAACACTAAGTAAATAAAGAAAAATCAAGACAATTAAGATATGTGATCCTAAGACAGAAATCTGAGGGGAGAAGAGCAGAGCAGAGTCCATTTTCACAGACTGGAGGAGAGTAAGTCCTGGTGCTAAACTGATACAATGAGCTATAGGTACTATTTTTCAAATAGAAAGTAGCAATATTACATGTTTTAAGGGCTCTTAAATATTTTAATAGCACTTCTAAGAACTGCACACTTGCATATTCCTGAAGAGCCTTCAGATACCATTACAAACAACTAAAGAAAATGATTTATCTACAGTACAAAGAACAATCCGTCAGATCTGCGCTGCAGGACCCCAGGCACACAGTGTACATAGTGTGCCAGAGTGCAGTCCCACCATTCCTACAACAAACAAAAGCAAGCTGCCACCAAAAGGGATGGCTCTGCTGCCTTGTACCCATTCAGTTTCTCTCTGTTTAAAGTAATGCATTCAGCAAGATCAGCCTCACACAACTACACTTGTGCTTAGACTGGCACAAGGAAGACATCAAAAACGAGCTGGCAGTGGGAGGGCAAGACTCTCAGCTGTAAGTCTGCTATTTCACTGATCCCAAGCTCTCCTACAAGGGGGGATGACTTCTCTTGCAGCAACACTTGTTCTTATGTTACCATGCAGGAGGCTATTCTGGGAAGTGAACCAGATAATAGTTGCCCGTTCCTCACAGGTGATTAGTTCTCTCCCGAACCTGGAACTGAAACAGCCCCACTGCATGTTCACACTGCTGCCAGCTTCACTGCAAGTGTCACATTGGTGTCACCACTGGTAGCCTGAGTAAAAGCTGTCTTCAGTAGCCTTGAATCCTACCCTCAGCATGCTACAACTTGCTCAGGGCTACATCTTCTGGTACTTCTTTTCTAAAACTGAGGTGTTAACAGCAACAAATCATGCGGTTTAGAAATAAAGCTCTCTATTAGAAAAATCACTTTTAAAATCCACTTCAGTGTATACATCACATTTTGGCATAAAGAAACAGACTAAGATTTACAACATTTATAATCCTAGTATTTCAGTTATCAACCCCTTAGCAGGTATAGAAAACACAGAACTTTTTTTTCCTCTCAACAAACAAGAAATGACTCTATATACACCTACATTTCTAAGTTAAACATCAGCTCTAGCAATCTTTACATAAATGAATTTATTTTCATGCTTTATCTTCCCTAATTTAACACTAAGTTGTTTTGAAATACTCCTTCTCCACTTAAACCTTTTCAATCTTTTGACAATTTATACATTAGTAAAATGTAACATACAATTTTCCTCCAACATTTCATCTGAACATGTGTTTGAGAACAACTCTTAAAGCTGTGGCACTCTACATTCTCCGCCTTGACAGCATTCAAACTACAAACATAAACACTGAAAAGCCACTGCTGTCTTTCATCAAAGACTAAATGAAATTTTGCTCTGTTTCGTACTACATGTGAGAAACGTAGGAATGAACATCAAAACATGAACTTAAAGGCTTCATAACACAGACACCAAAGTTCAAGAATTGCTGCTCCACTTTAAAGGAGCTGATGGCTACTTCGAACAACAGACATGATTACGCTCTGCTTTTCTTAGTGTCTCAGCAAGGTCATCAACTGTTACAAGAAAAGATACACAACTGCTTCTACATAAGGCAAACAAAAAAGGAAGCAGTCAACAACTGTCTGCAGGTGGATTTCCTGTTCTTTCTAAATCCATTTCCCTGCAGGAAAATATTCATAGTAATTTTATAAACACATTTCCGGATGCAGAAGGACAAAGACAATTGTCACCATTCAAATGTTTTACTTCCTACTGAAAACAGACAATCTCAGCTTCCATACTCAATTCTCAGTGCTATGCTTCTGAGAGCAAAGAAACAAGTCACAATCAGAAATGCACCATTTGGTTAATGGTAATCATCTAGCTCTTTATCTGATTAAAGCACTGGGGCATTAGTAACCAAATCTCTCATTATTCCTGTAATAACACAAAAAAAAATCACCATTTTGTAGATTAACTCAAGCAGGAATATATTTAAAATAGTTGTCCAGAACATTACAGAAGCATAGCATGTACTGTGGATTAGAACTAGAGTGTGGATGTGTTTATATTTTTCTCTTTTTTAGATGAAGCATGGCATAAAACTTAAGAGTATTAATGGAGCATTACTGCCAGGTTTTGTTTTCCTTTCCTAGCATAGCTAACATCTGAACACTCAATAGCATGGTAAAAAAAAAACCCAAACCAACAACTTCAAGTGAGCAACTTGGGAAGATTTGTTAAAAACAACTGAGAACTAACAGGAAAAACTCCATAAAACCTGGAACATGCAGTGAGCATGCAGTAATTATACGCATCTCTCCATTTGCTCTTATCTTACTGTTCACAATGTAATACCATAACAGAAAGCACAGACCAAAACTGCTTTTCTCCCGTGATGCTGTGCTGATGCTGCTTAAGATATTAACAGCACATACATTCTGAAACAGTGCAAACTGCCTCCAAGGATTCTTATTAATAAAACAAACAACAGAAAACATTTCACTGAGGAAAAGATGTCTCTACTTTCAGTGTATTTCTCCCCAAAAGGGAGATCTCCTACTATTCTTTTTTCCCCACACACCTAGTTTTCACTTTTCTTAAGGATAATTTTCCTTTAAAAAAAAACAAAAAAAGATACCAGAAAAGCAATTAAAAAAGCACGATTAAATCAATTAAAAGCCATCTCTTAAACGTTCACCTCAGAGAAAAAAAGCTAAGCTTCGAGCCTTAAGCAATAGCTGAGATGGACTAGAGCTTGACAGTGTCTTTCCAGTGTACTTCACTGAGACTAGCTTCCTGTGCTTCCTGTTTCTACGAAGCACTACCTGTGCTGAGGTACAGCAGTGAGGGATTCAGGTAACTCTACAGACAACTGCTGGAAACAGTCTTCACCCTGAGCATCCACAGACTGCAAAGGTGCAACACAGCTCAGTAAATGAGTTAGTTTCTTATGTGTGCCCAGAATTTCTTCCATAGATTCACCTTGATTACTTGATCTTGCTTCCAAAAAATGAGACAACTGCTAAAGCAACATACACAGTGATATTCTACTTGGCAAAACTTTGCCCACCTTTTAAAGCTAGCAGTTAAAAACTAGAAATGCTACTGCAAGCAGAAAAATCAAATAAAGCTCTTTTAACTTAAGAACATCATGTTTCTCATAAGAACTGAATATCCAGTTTTCCAGAATATTTTGTGTGAAGACCAGAGCTCTTAAAACTATTTTACCTGAATTCTTCGAGCATTCAGACCAGCAGGATTTGCTCTGACATAAACTCCCTCATGCTCCCCCCTCCCTTGCCTGGGAGCAAGTGTCCTTGACATCCAAGTAGACTCCTTTCTCAGTTCGCACTGAGCAGACAGCAGCAACAATACTCATACCTAAGCACAGAAGATACTTCTGGTATTTAAAATATTTACTTTCCTTAGTTCACACCTACTTAGCTGGAGCCACTGGATTTCAGAGCTAACTAACTCACAGTATAGTCTAATAAGACTACAGCATTAGAACCTTACCAACGTAAATATGGATTACTTAACAAGATACTCTGTCATGACTGCTTTCAGGATAAAAATGCTCATTATTTCATCTTTTAGAATTTGTGGGTCACAACAGACTCCTAAAAGTATACAAGAGATTGTTCTTAACCTCTGTTTTCCTGCATAACTTTTCCCTACCGTAAAAATGCTGGAGGTAATTAAGAACATCCGTTTCCATTGAACTTCATGCAATTATCATCTCTAGCACTCAATTTCAATATCAATATTACAGCATAGAGCAAATGCTAGAAATAGATACAATGCAGTCTATTCTTCAAGCAGGTGTACTCTTCTGCAGCAGCTAACCAGCCCAGAGATCTGAATTTTAAGTAGCAGCCTCAGCATTAGTCTACCTGTACTGCAGTACCTCAAACGTTCTGGAAGACCAGCCAGAGGAACTCAGGGTTGAGAAGAGTCCCTTCTGTCTTCCTCCCCTTCTGGAATGTGCAATGCTGGCCTCTGAGTTTAGGAGGGAGATAAACAGAGAACTGAAACTACGTCCTGTGTGTGGAACATCCCACGTCCTTCCTGACCTACTGCACTTTGCTATGAGCCTCCCTAAAAACCACTCACGTGCACCTCAAGAAAATTAAAGCCACTTTACCTATTTAACGCTGAAGCAAATCACTCATTACAAAAAAGAGCTAGCGTTCACCAAAACCGGCTGAAATAAGGCCCAAAGAGAGAATACTACGAAATACATTTACAACTGTTGCAAACCGTGAACTCAAACTATTAAAGGTGCCACCAGTTCATCACTGGAATAATCGCTCGCGTCTTCCCCTCAAGTAGCGCCTCCACAATACGTGCTGCTGTTCCCCGTGTTCTAAGACTATGATAAGTAAGAGCAGAAAAGGAAAGAACTGAAGGTCTCCGGCCTTTTAAACGTGTAGAGCTAAACAAGAATCTGCCCCACGCGCCGCGCAGAACCTGAACAGCAGGGGCACGCAGCCGCCCATGCCTCCCGCACAGCCTCCCCCCGGTCCCCACGCCGCTCCCGGGCTCGCCCCGCCGCCGCGGCCCAGCTGACCTTCGGCGCGCGTTGCCCCGCTCGCACAAAGCGCGGCGGCGGGGCCGGGCCCACAAAGGGGCAGGCGGCCCCGCGGCTGAGCGGCGCAGGCCTCGCGGCAGGCCCCGAGCCGGATCCGGGCCGGGCCCGCACCCGGCGCACGATAGCCCGGCGGCACCGCCCGGCCGCAGCTCCCCTTCCCCTCGGGGACCCGGCGGACCCGGCCGCGGAGGCCCCGCCGCGTCTCGGCGCTCGGGCCGAGCTCCTTTCTTGGCCCGGCCGCGAGCGGGAAGCCGGCCGCGCTCGGGCCGCGCCGGGGCCTCGTCCGAAGACTCGCCGGAGGCAGCCGCGCCGTCCCCGAGGCGGCGCCGGGGCCTTCCCCGGGCGGCGGCCCGCGGCCCCTCTGCGCCGCGCGGGGCCTCTCGGGGCGAGGCGCCGAGACCGCCGGGCCGCACTCCGCGACGCGCTCACCTGCGGGCGCCGGGCCGGGAGGACGTCGCTCTGTCGGCCTGGCTCCCCGATGGCGCGGGCTGCTGGGCGACGTGCCGCGCGGCGCTCGACTAGACGCTGGGTGCCCGGCCCGACCCGCCCGCGCGCTCCCTGCCTCGCTCCCTCCCGCCTGCCGGCCGAGGAGACGCCGCCGCGGGGGCGCGCCGGCTGCGGCGGAGCTCTCCTGCCTGCCGCGCGCGCTCCCGAGACAGGCGGGCGGCGGCAGCGCGCGGCCGGCAGAGCCCCCGCGCACGCGCACCCGGCAGCGACGCGCGCGGGCCGAGCCGCCCCGCCGCCGGCGCGGGGAACAAAGGCCGCGCTCCTCCGGCCGCGCCTCTCCGCGGGGCGGCGCCGGGCTCGGCCCTGGGGCCGCTCGCCCCCGCCGGCCGACCGACCCCTCCGCTCCCCCCCGCTCGGCCCGCGGCCGCCTCTCACCTGTACCACTGCCGGAACCTTGTCGCGGCCACCTGGCTCCGCTGAGGGAGCGCGAGCGCAGAGCGGCGCCGCGAAGGAAAGGCACGCGGCGCTCCGGGCCCGGCCCTCGGCCCGCCCGCCCCTCTCAGGGGGAGCGCTGCCGGGCTGCAGGCGATCGTTTTGGCGCAACGGCATCGGCGGCGTCACGGCCCCAGCGTTCCACCCGGGCTCCTGCAGGACGGCTCTCCATGCACCGAGAAAGGAGAACGCCCGCGGCCGCAGCCCGTCCCTCCCGCTGCTCCCGGTAACGGCCGCTCACGCAGCCCGGGCTACTGCGCCGTACTGCCGCCTCCTCCCCTCACCGCCCTTGCATAACGCGGCCCAGGCCGGCCCCGCTCCAACTGCGTATGTAACTGCAGCGCTTCAGCTGAAGGGAATCGTGTAATTGCGAGCGTGCTTACATACGCAGTGCTGGATTGGTTGTCTGCTGGTGTTGTTAAGTGGTTTGCCAGAAGAGAGCCGTTGTTTATTTCACTTTCAGTTAAATATTTAGGATGGCAAACATACATGCCTATATATATATATACACGTATATATACACATATACATACACACACATGCATATATATATATATATAATATATATATATATATATATATATATATATATATATATATATATATATATATTAGTCACCAAAGCAAATTCTGGGCTAGTTTGATTTGTTATCAAACTATTTGTTGGGTGGTTCTCACTATTCTCATTCCTGCTGGTGACCAGAAAGCACTTCTTTATCTAACATTCCCATGTTGAATCTGCCAGTTCTGCTCTTAGTTCAGAGATTGTTAGGATTACTTTGGAGAAGCTGCCTTCAACATGCATCACCACAGCAATGCAGTAAGATATGCATCAAACCCGCTATTGAAGAATCTTCCCAACTGCAAATAATACCAATTATTTATAGCCATAGAACACCTGGTATAGAAGCAAAAGTTCCTCACACGCACTTTTTCACTGCCCGGTTGTAATTTCACAGCTGTTACTGAGCTTTCTCCTTAAGCATTCATGAGGAACTACACACGTGGCAATGACTGCCAACCTGTAGTGGGACTGTCTTCCTGAATACTTAAGGAAAAACATTCTGATTAAGTAGGGTATTGTTCTTGTTGTGGAAGGATGTGTTCCTGAAGCATCATGTTATCAGTATTAGAGGTGTTGTTGTGTTTTTTTTTTACCTTTGATTTCTGTATAGACATAGAGAAGTCTATTCAGTAGTGGAAACTTCAAAAAAAGTTGTCTTCTGTATACAAGAAGAAGAAAACCTCCATAGCAGTAGCAGCCAGTATTTTTAGGTATGAGAGCCACAGTGCTTATCATTTGCAGCAATCTGCGTGGTTTACTACAAAACGTGTCTATGATTAAGGCTTTGATTCTGCAAACTTGCACTGACTTTTTGCTTCTGAAAAAAACAAATACTGATACAGTCTCACAATCCTATATCAAATCAATGCGTAGCTATAAGCATTTGCCTTTCCCAGAGTAGAAACTCATTCCTTGAGCAGTGAAACTGTCTTTTCCTTACCTCTTTCTTTACCACAGCATCCTTTAACTTTGCTCTTGGCAGCCTCAGCTCTGAAATGTGTCCAGCTTACTGGAACAGACCCCATAGCAACACCACACAGGCCCCATCACAGTAGGAAATCAGGGTAAAAACATTTCAAAGGTCATATAAGCCACCTTTCTGCTCCAAGGTAGAATCATCTGTGCCTTCATTATTTCTGACCAATGTTTGTCTAAACAGGTCATAAAAAGACTGCTACAGTTGAAATGTTAAAATTTGCCTTCCAAAACCTATTCTAGTGTTTATCTGTCTTTAGCATTCCACTGTTTCTCAACGTATATAACTTAAGTGTCCCATTATAAATTTAGTGCATTCTTGAAATACTTCAGTGAACATACAAGCAATTTGCCCCCTTCCATTTCTGAAGATGTGAAGTGATATTTAGGTTATTAGTGATATTTTACATTTCTGTAAACCTCATTCTTTGTTTCAAGAATGAAAGCAGGCCACCAACAACTGCCAGTTCTGCAGATGGCTGTGTACTAGCAACACATGGTAGCACTCTCTTGAGACTGAGAAATATGATTGCCAATGGTTGCTGAACTGGATACTCAGATTTTGTGGCTGGATCTGGTTTCTCAGGCAGAAGCACTGCTTCTGCTTCTGAGCATTCATAGTAACATCTGATCCTGGCAGCTAAGTGCCTAAGTCCTAAGCAAAGCATCCGCAAATAAACCCTTATCTAAGTCCGTGTGTACTATCATTGAAGCCAGCAAAAATACAGATGCTTAAATGCATTTTCTTTTTGCAGCATCTCAGAGTCTCTAAAAGTAATGAAGAATAATCTTCTACGCAGTTCTGAATATCCTAGTTTGACTACTTGTTTTGGTATGAAATGAGAACATTTAGTACTTAAGGAAAATGAATACGCAGGTCCATCAAAATACAACTATTTTGAGACTTGTGTTGGAGAAGTATCCAAAGGTAACGGTGTGCTAATTACAAATTAGTGATTACACAAATGATAAAAGGAAATCTAAGATAACCGTTTATAAAAGTAATAAATATAGTAGAATTTCATGAGAAATATGCATTGTTCACCTGGAAAATATGTTCTATTTACAAAAATAGAAGAAAAAATATTTTTATCTTCTTTTTTTCTGACCAATTAATATCATCCTCGTATATATTAGTACAGTGAATGTACTGTAAGGATTTCTACTGTCCATCATTTCCCAGTATCACAGAAAGGAAAATTACAAACTTCCACATTTTGTCTCAAACATTCATGAGAATCCTAGAGGTGGTACTATTGATTAAGATGGAAAATCAGTTACTTAAATACTGAGGTATTAATTTACCTATTTTAATTTGCATTCTTCATTTCACAGGCTGCAAAACATCTATGTTCCCAGACAGAAGAATAGCAGAGCTACTTAGAGCAGTTCCATTACCCAAAAAAGTAAGATTGTTTTTCTAAACACTGATACCTGTTTTGTATGTTTGGATCACACATTTTGTATAGTGGCAACATTTTGAACTGACAGGAATCCACGAGAAAGCAGTTTGGGGATATGCTTAAGACTTTCATATGTACTATTAACAAAATCTGATTTGTGAGAAAGCACACATTCTCTGAAGTATGTGTGTTTTCCCACTCCTAACCTGCAAAGTTTCATACATATATGCACACACATCTGTACACACACAGTATTGCTGACTCCTCTAGCTGCATTGATGAGTACTGAACATGACATAAAGCCCTGTTTTTCTTCTTTCCTGCAAGGCTGTCTCTAAGGTCTGTGGCATTTGACAGACCCCCCTCAGGTTTGATCTCACCAGAGAAACGGAACAAGCAAAACCTTCCGAAGTAGAAGCTGAAGTTTTAGAAGGTAAATAAAATCCCAAACTTAGTATTTTATATAATAAATATTTCATTTTAGAAGTAATGTTATGGTAGACTGGTTGGATTTGGCAGTCCTGATGTACCAGCTGACTTCATTGGATATCCTCATAGAAAATGCATATTATAGTCTATTATTAATTACTGTGCAGCTATGTACTAACTCTTCAAATATTTAAAATACAATCTGAAAAAATAACACTGACTTTCTGTCCTTAATAATAATTGACTGATTTCACTGATGCCAGATATTTTTTAGAAAAAAACATTTTCTTAATTTTTTTTTAGTTATTATTAATTTGATTTATTTACCACTTACGACCACTTTCAGAATTTGTAAGAGGCTGAAATTGAAAGAAGAGACAGAAAATAAGTTCTGTAGAAAGACTGAGAGAAGGTGAAAGAATTTTTGATTTTGCAATAGGCACAGTTTTAGGCAGACAAAAAAAACAACCTTTAACAGGAAAAAATGTTAAATGTTAAATGCTTTTAAAGAAGTTTTTCTTGAGGAGAAACGATGCCTTGTTTCTCTTTAAATAACATACACACATTCACATTAAAGAATACTGCAGAAGTATTTTCAGAACTGTAGAATTCAGAGAACAGCAGATCTACTCACTCTTCAGAAGCACTGTATAGTTGGTATAAGACTTGGCTTTTACCACAGCTTCATCCCAATAATAGCCAGCAGCTTGACAATTTGTAGATATCTTAGCATGTAGAAAACGTGAAATTAGTTTGCACGTATTTCTTCTATATGTAGTATTTATTTAGAAAATATATTTATTTTTAAAATCTATCAACTAATTGTAGGCTATCTAGTAGTGCTGATGTGTCACAGAGATCCACAAAAATATTTGTGATCATCGTATCTCCAGACAATTATTACCTTGCTATTTTAGAAGGGAAGCAAGTGGCTGTCTGCCAACATGGCTGAAGTAATTCATCTAGATTCTGTTTTAGAACAACAGGCTCTGATTTTCAAGACAAAAGTAGCAGCACGTTGAGCCAACACAAGCAGCAGTACGAATCCAAAGAGGAACTTAAGACCATCAGGTTCTTTTCCAAGAGTCCATAAGTAGTCATTAGACAAAACACAGTTCCAGTCAGCACTGTCCTGCTTTATATTACAACTGCTTAACTAAATTTAAAAAGCCTTTTAAACCAATTAAAATCTCCTGAATTACCCAGTTCTTACATATTTAGATATACAGTCTTCATTTGACTCCTCCTGAGTAAAGAATGAAATGTGTAATTATTTAACATGAAAATAGCTTAACGTCATGAAATTTTTGTGGGCATGCAGCACACAAAATGCACAGATACAAATTCCTATCTGTTTAGTGATTCAATAAGAAAATTACAAGATGAAGTGATTTTAAAATAACATGAAACACATAATAACGTTTTGGAATTTGAATGTCCTTAATAAGGTTAAGCAAGACATGAAGGCATTGACAAGGTTTTTTGGGAGGTTATGCCTGGGAGGAACAAATCCATCTGATACCATGATCTGAAGAACAACGTAACTGGGCGATACCTACTATGCAATAATACCTACTATGCAATAGTAGGTATGCTATTAGAAACAATACGCAAAATAAGTCATCTACTAAAAAATGATTGTAAGACAAATCTGCATATGTCAGGGACTATTACTAGATCTGGATCAGTTTGACACAACATACACAGATAATCAAGTACTGGCTAGACCTTAAATGTGATATAAAATGTTCTGATCCAAACTCAGCAGAACGAATGGTATATGTGAACATTTTTAGCTAGCACACATAAGTTTTGCAGGAGGTACTCAGTCCTGTGCCAAGCTTCATTACAGGTAGTTCCCATGTAAATTTTGCATTACATTGTTATTTGTCGTTCAGGTGAACAGCCAACATTTAGAGCAGTCCTGCAATATTTCTATCAGGAGGTGACTCATGTAGGACATAGGTGCATCTTTGGCATAAGCTTATTTATTCAAGAAATTATTTCCTTGAACACACTGGAGGAAAAGAGGAGAGTGACATCACTTTCCTTGCTTACAAATTCTTCTGCTTTTGTAAAATAAGTCTGACAGAAACTCATGGCTGCTCTTCAAGTTTTCTGATAAGAAAACGCAATCCCCATTTCTGTACTTGGACAAATCTCCCGAGGCACATGATTAACACCTTGCTCAGATCCTGCCACGTTTACCACCTCTTACTGTTCTAGCTCTCACAGTATGCATGAATGTTTCATTGTTCCTGTTCAGCTCTTACTTATTGACTGTACTCAGGCCCATGACTGAGCACAGTCACAAACATTTGTCAGAATAACAGTGTTATGAAAACACCTACAAAGAAAATGGTCATACTTCCACATTTCCCCCCTACCTCTCCCTCCCCATCTTCCTTTAACCATACAAACAGGGACAAAAAGTCTCCTGTTTTTCATTTTCTGCATGAATCAGTCAGAATGAGAGCACTACTGTGGGCAGTCTTGGACAAAGAAGCAAGGTTTGCATTCAGCTTTAAATGAAGGGAGATTAGGGAGGGTTGGTTTTTCTCCATAACATTTCTTCAGCATACTTGGGATGGTCATCAAGGCATAAATGCTTCAAGAACATATATTACGGTAACAGTCTGCTTTATTCCCATTCCTGTTCATTTTTAAAATGTATTTAGAGTCATTATCGTTCTCAAGAATGTCACATCACCAGAAATGCATCAGCAAGTCATGCACTGGCTAAATATAACACCTTACATCAGGTTCTGGAAGCAGCACAAAGTCAGGATATTGAGTGTGAGGTATTCTTTGTCATGCAACATTCCTTTTCATTTTGCTGGGACTTTGGTCTGAGCAGACACCACAGGGCATAATGAGGGTTATAAAACTGGGGAGGCTCACCAAAGAGGCTGTCGGCCACAACAAAATCTGATTATGGGCTTTATCCCTGACGCTTCTGATTTACCAGAGAAGAGGGAAAATTACAAGAGGCAATATTCTGTTTTTCACACCTGAGTACAGATAAAGCTTGAGGCATTATAATGTACTTCGATGCGTGTGCCTATTTTACATTGATTTTATATGTGATTTTTCTTGCTACTGTGATATCATTTACCATCATAGCACCTCTTGCTTCAGCTCTTCCCATTCTGCCAGTACCACACAGGGGAGGCTTTTGAGTTGCAGCCTTCATTTTACTCACTGAGCTTACTAAAGTGGTGTTATCCATGGTCTCAAAAGAAAGAAAAAAAAAAAGTAAAAAAGAATCAAAATCAAACAAGCACATAAAAAAAACCAAAAAACAAAAAACCAACCCAGTCTGGTTTGCAACAGAATAATTCAAAGAATATAAGTGGCAAAATAGGTTAGCCATCCTAATAGGTATGCTGGCACTGAACATACTGAACATAAATATTGTCATTTTAATTTTCTGTACTCATTTATGTTTACTATTTTCCTTTTTTTTTTTTTTTTTTTTTTCTTGTTATGTGGAGAGGACATCCCTGATTAGAGTGAAATAAATTTTTCTTATTGATTAGCCTTCATTCATTGAAGATTAAGCACACATAGAAAAGTAAGCCCAGTTATGTATCAACTCCTAGGTAGCTAAAAATACATCCTAGCTTGTTTTGATTATTCTATGCATTTGCTTAAAATGAAAAGCTCATGGGAAGATCATACATTCACAGAGCTGCCTGAGAGAATTTATAGCTTGTCAGCTGCATAAAGATATCATCTTCCAAAGTATTTTTGGGTGACACGGTAACAACTTTCAATAAGATGTTAAACAGAAATCTTGTGCTAGCTTTGCCTATATTCAGTTGTGATACTGCTTAGAACTTTATTTCTCTTGAAATGAAAGAAAATAAGTGCCATATTTGAACACAGTGAAATACACATCCTTTGTAATAATTCTGGAACAAATCCTACCCTGCTAGCCCTGTGGGAATAAAGAGAAGCATTGCACAGTGCATCCATTGCCACATAGACTCTGCAAGCTAGGACTGAATTCCAAGAGGCACACCCCAGGGAAGCACTTCAAGACATTATAAAATATTGTATGCCTGCACAGCCTTACGTGCAGCATTAGGAAAGCCTACCATGTCACCATCTTGTTTTTTAAATAATACGCAGTTGAAAGTGTATCATGTCAAGCTGAGACTGTTGCAGGCCTCTCTCCACTGCAACCCATTCTTCCTTAAAAAAGGAACTCTGAGGAGGGTGCTAATGGACAAAATCCCTCAGGAGATCATGAACTCCACAACAGGGGCATTCCTTGCTGCAGAGCTGTTGTTGCTGTTGGCCATCCTACATATTTAGGAATTTTGAATGTGTGCTAGGGAAAGCTACTGCCATAGCAATAGAACAATTCAACCCCTGTATGACCCCAGAGCACTCTATCTGGGGACCAATTCTGAAGAAATGGACTGCAGTAGTTTCATCAAACATGTCTGTCTCTTTAAACCTAAAACGGTAGACAATTTCCACAACCAATACATTTCATCTGCGAGCTTCCAATAAACAACCCCTGTAACTACAGTGGGAAGCCCTAGGAGGTGACCTGTCCTGGTAACTAATCAAAGCAGCATCTTCCCTAGCTGTACATCAAAGCAGCAGGAAAACTGAGTTTTAGAAAGGAATTGTTATTCATATGGAAAATCCAACTAATTAACCTTGTCAAAACTCTCATCAGTGACTGCAGAGTTTCTATAGCACTGCATCCAAAGTAATTTTTTGTTTACTGAGAAGAAATATTTTACTGTACTCATGGATACAGGAAATAACTTGATTTCAACTACTACATCTGCTACCTCTCCTCATTTCCCATTCAATTTTGACTATTTTGTATCCTTTTGCAATGTCTGCTCCATCAGGCTCAACTTTGATAATTGTGCACTGTGTTTTTCAGGATGGCAGATCTTGCTTTTTTTTCTTAGCTAGGAAGACTATTAAGAAACTGCTTTAACCAATGATCCCTTGAACCTTTTTCTCTTTTTTAACTGC